TTACGTTAATTTCAAGTATATTAAAAAACTCAGCAGCACTTTGGGGGCACTTTAAAAGGAATACTTTCACTAGTAGATGAAAATTTTAATACCGTTGAAGATTTTAAGGCTCACCATTAGGACGAAACACAATAGGTCAAGTGCAGTAACAGCCTTGGGACACCTGGTGCAGGCTGTGCCCAGAGGTACCACGAGTCTTCTCCGCCCGCCTGGTGAGGGCCGCCTGTTAGTCTTTTAGGGACCTACTTCCCCCCTTATTTTCAAGAGCTCTGCCTCCAATAGTTGGATGGATACTATGTGTACGAGGAAAAACATTATCAAAGAACCAAAAAATAAAAAACGCAGTTCTTTTAAATGATCCCCTCTGAAACCCATGAAGTCAGATTTCTGTTAAGGACCATGGGGGGCGGGTGTCTGAAAGTTTCAAAGGTTTGAAAGGCAGGATCTAGTCTCCAAGTTTCCCTAGTAAGTTTCCTACGACTAAGTATACGGTGGTCCAGGACTCACCTTCAGACACCGAACCACTGTCCAAATGCCCGCCCTGGCCTGCTTTCTAAAACCACAGGCGGTGTTTCTTAGAATTATTAATATGGTCAAGTCCCCCTCGATTGCAAAGTACATAAGAGGTTGTGTTTACTATACGTCACTCCGATATTTAAAAGAAGGGTAAAGGGAGTCATGGTAAGTATCTCCAGGGTTCTTGAGGTTTTCTCCAGGATTCTTCATCTGTTACTTCAAAATCTTTGGTAGAACAGGTTTCACCTGAAATAGATTTCTACAAACAATGTTGCCCATCTGTGTAACGCTTCTTACATTCGTCACTCAGGAGTACCTGCCTGACACCCAGGGCCACTGAATCAGTCTACTACGAATATCAAACATTAATAAAAATACCTCCACGTTTTCTTTCGCTGGAGTTTCCCCCAGAGGTACCAACACTGGGATTTCCTCCTCGGATTCGTCTTGCACTTTAACTTGGGCTTTTCCTCCGCTGGTCTGTTTCTTCTTGCGTGCTGGGGTCCCTGCCTTCCAGGGTGCGGGGCCCTTCGCTGGAGCACCATTGGTCGTAGGGGCCGCCTGCCTTGCAGCTGGGGCAGGTTTAGCCTTTTTTTCCGCCAATTTTAAGAGCCTCTTCTTTCTTTTGTTCTCCCTTCGTTTGTCGAGATATTCTTTTTGTCTTTGTTTTTTCTTTGCTTCCTACAAAAAAAAATCAAGCCTAAATTTAGTAGAGGATCCTTTTGTTGGTAAATAAATGGCACAGACTTAGCACTTGTAGTTCTGGGGATTCGTAAGCTCCTTGAAAGGGCCTTGACCTGTACAAGCTCTGAGCAAACAAACCCCGATGCCAGCATCTGAACCCCAACTCCACTTTGTCTGTGAGTCATAGCCAAAGATGCATTTTATGTGGTCAATTCTGTACTGGTATTCAGAATCCGGGTATCTGAAGAATGCAGTCGCAGATTTTATGAAAGTCAGTCTCATTTATAGGTGAGTTAACAATTATCCTAAACTGTATACAGTATGTGATGTGAATTATACCTCAATAAGCTGTTACACTGCCCCCCCCACAAAAAAACTGACTTTTTTTTCCTACCTCAGATTGTAGTTGGAGTTAAAACAGTCAAAAGTTTACATAGCTAGAGGTCCATTATCTTTACCACAGAGTACTGTTAAATAACATCTATAAAAGCATCCAAATTCCATTTTAACTAGCAATTCCAAAATTGTCACAAAATCAACTGAATCAGCTGATAAACGGCATAAAATTCTGCCTTCCTGCTTCCAATAAACGCAGTCTTTTTCTCTCTTTTGGTGAGGAGGATTGGCCCTGAGCTAACGTCTGTTGCCAATCTTACTCTTTTTGCTTGACCTAACATCTGTGCCCATCTTCCTCTATTCTGTATGTGGGAGGCCGCCACAGCAAGGCTTGATGGGGGGTGTGTACATCCACGCCCAGGATCTGAACCCACGAATCCCAGGCCGCCGAAGTGGAGCACATGAACTTAACCACTATGCCACTGGGCTGGCCCCTAACAGCAGTCTGTTTTATCTTGGGTCATCCTCTCAATGAAAACAAGTAAAAAAGTGGGGTAAAATAGTAAAAAAACAATTTTTTTTCATAAGCACTGATGAACTGAGCAAACTCTAAGAAATTCAAAACAAGGACCCAATGGGGTAGGTTGAGCCCAGAAGCCATTTTTGCCCCAAGTGTACATACTGATCCCTAACTTTTGCTTCCAGTCATGTGGGACTGGGGGCAGGAGGGGAATGGCGAGAAATCAAATCCACGTGTGCACAGTCCACACCGGGCAGGGATTCCAAGAGGAAACCCCCTCCAGTAAGCTGGGACTCTGATGAGTTACACCCTCGGGGTCAAGATGAACTGGAGGGGAGCTGTGAGGACATTGCCAAGGCTGGGTGTGAGTCACTCAGGGAACCTGAAAGCCTTGAAAGTGCTCTCAGGTGGTCCCAGGCAGAGAGTGCCCCCAAGTGTCTGGCCAACGTAAATGCAAATCCTCCAGAGAAAGGGTCTTCACCTGACACCTCAAATTATTTCTACAAATACTTTTCCAAATGCAACGACCATCACACAGTCAACGATAACCACGTACATAAGGAGCCAGCAGGAAGAGGCAACTGGCTGCACCACCAAGACGTCTCCTATGTGAGCTATCAGACAACTAGGCAACAACTACGCTCAACATGTTCCAAGAAATAAGACGAACTGGAAGATTATAGATAACAGGAAACCAAAAAAAGTAAAGCCAATTTGAAAAAGGACAAAGCAGGGAATGTCTAAGAATTAAAAAATAAAAAGACCAAATTTAAAAACTCATTGGACATAATTAACATGGCTGAAGAAAGAATTAATAAACTAGGAGATTGGTCCAAACAACAGCAAAAAATTTGAATTCCTCTCATTCTGGCTTCTTTTGCCATAACACCAGTAGCCCTGAAAACCTACAAACCAAAACCAAGAGGCATCTGTTAGCCTAATACAGCCTTAAATTCTGCCCATAAGTAACAAACTACTTCATAAACTAGATTCTGGTTTTCCTCTCTCTCAGCTCCTCTTGCCACTGCACAGACCTCTCCTAAACCTAATTAGCCCTTTTAAGAGAAATTAAACATTAAACTACCTAACATCAATAAATACTAGACACCGACATCTCAGTGTGCTCAAGTTACGCCAGCATTAACCCATCTCCTATGTGGGATGGGGGTGAACCAGAAGCACCAGCTCTGGGCAAACACTGAAACGCAGGCAGGAATGGCCACCTTGTTCTCTCTTCTTGGGGCCAAGTTGCCATCCTTGATTAAGCCTACTCAGTATTTAAAACTCTACTAACTTTTTTCTTCTGACTAGGAGTGCGTACTCCTTTGGCGTCATCTTGACTGCTGACAAACGAAGAGAAGATGGGAAGGGCGACCGATTTCTCAGTTTTCACGTACAAGAGTTTCACACTCTCCCACTTCTGAAACAAAGAAAGGAGCAATATAATCTCTACACGTTCTGTTTCTTTTAAATGAACACTCAATTGATGCATCTGCAAGACTATACCTCGGGCAATTTCTGTGAAAGCCGTTTCGCGACAGCAACAACGTTCTCCATGATGTGCTGAACCTGCATTCCAGTGTGACCGATGCGTATAGTACTGAAATTTAATCAAGTTTTAGACAAAAAGACTGTAAAAAATAATTTGTTTTTCAAAAGAAAGCACAGGCAGATATGTGAAAGGTATCAGTACACAAGCCTAAAATTTTTTTTAAGGTAGAAACATTAAATCTTTAGTTTCTAAATATATTTGAAAGGAAGATTATCATCTTTCTTGTTCTAGAAATGTCCTCCTCCTGAAATATGTCATACCATGAAGAGGCGACTGAGGAGCTGCCACCTTATGCGTAAGGCTGGGAGGGTCAGTGGGCAGGGCCAGGCGGCATTTTACCTTCAGTCTAGAAAATACAGATCACTGAGTTGGCCCTCTAGCTTTTCTGAGGGCAATTACCCCAGGAGTGGCTGTTCTGAAAGGAACTACCCCCAGGAGGTTTGTCTGCTTTTTAGTTCCAGTGCCCTGACCCAGCTGCCACCTCTAAAATAAACATGCTCATTGCTCAAGGAACAGCGTCTTCTGGCCAAGAGCAGGACCATCCCTTCAGTGGACGCTGAGCACAGACATAAGCCAGGGGGAAGCCCAGAAGCGCCCATCACTCAGCCACGGGGTCCGCCTGTCCCTGCTGGCTCCCATCCTCCCCACCATGGGAGCCAAAAGGCAACTCGCTGTTCATTGGGTGTCTGCAGAATGAGGATGCGACAGGGGCTGGTGCTCCCATCTCCCTCCAGTCAAAGACAGGGGGCTCTGCCCACTCTGTGTGCCCACTGCCACCTACCGGCAAGCACACCCTTGGCTTCCCAGACAGAAAGATGGCAAGAATTAGGGGGGCAGGAGGGTGAGGAAGATAGAAAACCATTGCTCTGCAAAAAGGCAGGACAGGAGATGGAGGAACGGTTTAGGTTTTGTATTGTGTTTTATTAGTTCCACAATTTTCCTTCAACTGTAGGTTTGGGCTTGGAAAAACCCCAGAAGCAGGAGACTGCTACTCCTTTATCTGCCTTCATGGTGCCATCTCCTTCTCCCAGCTGCTCACCGATCCCATGAACCAGGCCTCTGACCTAGCTAACTGCTTCCCATGAGCCACTACTTTGATGTCAGCCTATAAGCAAAGAGTGCGAGCTCCAGGTCTGACCACCAGCTCTTCTCAGCTGCTTAATTATACCCAATTCAGAGTCTCCCACCTGCAGGCAGAAGGCAAAACCAGAACCCACCTGTCTTGCCAGCCATACCCTGTTCAGTCCTACCTGGAGACACTCTGCTGAGGGCTGGCCTCCCTGGTGGGCAGAGTCAAGACATCTTGGTGGTCCTGTTTTACGGTGTGTGTGAGCACTGGGTACACACGGGCTCCTAAGGGTATCTATGGGAGGAAGGGCTGTACCCTATAGCTCTGCCCTACTGGCAGCTGTCCATCCTAGTCATCGGATTAAGTATTTTATAACATGATTTTGAATATGTTTACAACCACCCCTCTCCCGCCTAAACTGCCAAGCATTCAAACTTAACCCGCCCCTCAGCCTAATAAAACAAGCTGGGCTGCATTCTATCCCCCTGGAAGCTAGGAAGCAATCACTGCCCTACAAGGTCTTTTCTGGTCCCTAAGACCAGGTGTGGGGGCTCCAATAGCTCACTGTCCTGTGTGAGACACAATCAATGTGACAACATAAAGACACCAGACAGGATGATGAGACAAGATGGACGCTGAATTCATTTAATAAGTAAACCAAGACTGAGGTTTTGGGATCTTCACTTTAAAAGATAACAGGATGTTAGTCAAAATGAAATGCTAGAAAATGTTCTCTAAGCATTCATCTTATTCTCCTTGCTTTCCTTAATATCTAGAGATGCCCTGTGCAATGCGGTAAACATTAGCCACTAGCCACGTTTGCCTATTTAAATTTAAATTAATTAAAATCAAGTAAAATTAGAAATTCAGTTCCTCAGCCACAGGAGCCACACTTCAAATGCTCAACAGCTACACATGGCAAATAACTGCTGTAGGAAACAGAACAGATATAGACCATTTCCATCACTGTGGAAAGTTCTATGGGACAGTACCGTTCTAGAGAACTGAATATTTCTAAGGAATGGATTTTAGTTTTAACAGAAGGATCTAGTTTTATTAGCACTATCTTGTGAAAATGAAGTTTATATAATCATTATTAAATATAAGATTAAACACAGGCACACAATGCCTTTTACCTACCTGCAAGAACCACTTTTCGAGATGTTCAGGACAGTTCCACCTATAGATTCATTGATCTCTCTGGATAAATTCTTGGCCAGAAGGTTTACAGGTATCGGAACTCTGTAACAACACACAGGCACTTAGTGCACGATGCATATACACCTATAAACGTGACGCTGCTGAAGTCCAGTCGTTGCTAAGAAACTCACTTCTTCCTGTTATAGAAATGTCTGCCGAGGTGGGAGGGTAGAAGCCGCCTGATTCTCGCATCAGTAAGGAAGAGGTCAAAACTGCCCAAGAGGCGGAGCTTGGCTTCATAGGCCTTATATTCCTTTTTTAAAGTGCGGAAGGGGATAATCTAGAAAACATAAGAAAGAGTAAAAACAAAAAAAAGTTAAGAAACTGAACAAACAAAAAGAAGAAATACTTTGGCAACAATGTGCATGTGTATTTTTAAATGTCCCGGAGCCATGTGAGTACCTGTAACGTGCCAGGGACTAGGCTAAATGCTGGGACACAGAGGCAAATGCGTTGAGACCTCAGCTAAACAAAAAACGACACCAACAACTACAAAACAAGGTGAGAAGTGCTAAGCCAGAGGCAAATGCAGGATGCTCTGGAAGTTCAGAGGAAGGACCTAATGGAGCAACCTTTTATAAAACCTTCAAGATATAAGTTAACTGATGTACACATTGATCTTTTAGGTTAACAAACCTCAAGAGCTCATCCATCATGGGGAAGATGAAATATGCCCTACCTAAAGCCAATGAGAATTAAATTAAAAAGAGAAAATTAAATTCCCAGGAGAGAAATATTAGGTAATATAAGAATGTATTACTTATCACTTCAACTGAATCCAATCTTTTAACTCTCTCAAAAATATTAACCTGCTCCCTACCTGAGAAATGGTTTTAATTCCATGCTTGTTCAAAAGCTTCTTATAAAAACGTTCTGTCTTTTCAGGAGTTACATTGGGTTCGTCCTTGGTAAATAAACAGATATCTGCTAAATCTGATCGAATACCATGAGGCAAGGCCCTGCAAAATACATGAGAAGAAACCAAGAAATAAACCATTATAACAGACAAAATGTATGTTTACATCCAGAAGACACAACAAATTCACTGTCATTTCAATAAACTTCATTCATGCTATTTAAGCAAATACTCTATTGAGAACATTTAAAAATATATCTAGTTTTCAATAGTATAGAGAAGAGATTTAAGATTCAAGTAAATCACCAAAACTATCCACAGGCCAAAATAACAATAATATTTGGGATATAACAAGAGTTAAAATATAATCAAAGACACCCAGAATAGTGCATATGTAATTATTATTACTTTATATGTTGCTACATAAGCATGTATACTACAATGTGCTCCATTAATCTAGTTCCATCGCTGGTTCAGAACTTTACCTAGCAGGAAACTCTGGACTCCATAAACAACGTAACTCTGAAGAGCTGAAACAGAAAACACGGAGCAAACCAGCAGGACCAGCAAACATGCACTGATTACTATGTTGAGTCTTAAAAAGAAAAAAAGGTTTAACTCATTTCCTAGGCCTACACGTTCTGAGGAAACACCTCCTTAGTTTAAGGACAGCAAACAACATACAGGAGCATGACTTGCCAAATGAGAAGGTTTAAGTGCTGCCAAGCTGGTAAGTGGTAAAAATCACCATGAGGTGAGTAGTTGGGAGAACATCCTGGAGAAAGTGAGAGGGCTTTCCAGAAGGGAGAAGCTGTGTGAGCCAAGATGTGGAATCAAGGATGTGTGCAGGATACATAAAGCAGTAACTAAGGCAACCAGGCTGGGGCAGGTTTGTGAAGATTGGTTAAGAGAGAGTCTGAGGGTCAAAAGGGTCTTGCCAACTTGTAACCATTTTCACCCCTTCTTCCCCCTTTATGGGGGAAAACAGAAACAGCTATCCCACATGCTGCTTTCTTTAGCAGAGCTGGCTTTTTGACACTTAGGAAACAAGGGACTCCACAGAGAAGCAGTGTTGCCAGATAGAGTATAGAATACCTAGTTAAATTTGAAACATTTTTTTTAGTATAAATATGTCTCACATATTACAAGGAACCTACTTACACTAAAAAACTTCTCGTATTTTTATTTGCTAAACTGGCAACTCTACAAAGAGGGCATCTCTGACCTACAACTCCTAGCAGTAAGGATGTGTAATTGCCTCAGATTTTCTCTTCCATAAGGAGTTCACTGCCAAGTTTTCAAGTCTCTGTATAAAGGAGCAAGTCTAGGGCCTCAGGAGTTTTAGCCTGGAAACAGCTCGACATGGAAAGACAACAGATTCTATACAAAAATACAAAAGCTGTTCAATTTATTCTACCTTGGTTCTCTCAAAAACCAGGTTTTGGTTTCAATAGAACTGCTTGGGTCAGTTGTCCACCAAGCCCCCAGAAAACTGGTGAAACTTCTAGAAAATCTAAGCACAACTGAATTCCTACAGTTTTTAACGGGACAATTTTTTATTTCAGCTCAGATTTTTATTTTGAGTTTGCAAAGTCTCCATCAGAAACTAAGTTGCCATTGTTAAAGTTACAAAGAACAACCAAGCAGATAAAAACAGCAAATGCAGAAAATCAGAACTTACAATTTGACCCTCAGTTCTTTACTTGGAATTTTCCATAATACCACCATTAAAAAGAAATTTTCATTCTCATTCAAAAGCAATCCATTCGCGTTTTTCCTGGACTTGGAATGTGCCAACAGAGCGTCCACTGCCTTTTTAATCTGCAAAGTGGAGATACACAAATAAATTAAATCTCAGTCTAATTTAGCATTTGCCCCCTCCCCACACCTTTTTCTTTTTCTGCTCAAATTTTAATAGGCAACCTCCACAACCGTATCTATTAGGATCCTGCAATTTGTACTCGGAGGAATGTCCATCAGAAACCGCCTAAGTATCCGCTTCTAGCACATGAATACAGAAAAGCGCCTCTTCTACATAAGACACGGTGCCAGATGGAACACGCTTCCCCTATCCTCAATGATGAACGCAGCAATCTCAGTAAAAGAGCAATACACACTGCAACTAGCATTTACTGAGCGCCTACTACGTGCCAGGCCCCCGGCTACAGCGCGCTGCGTGCATTACCTCCTCTGATCCTGGAGAGCACAGGGCAGCAAAGCCCTTAAGATACGAGGCTTGCAAAATCAAGCGACTTGGCTAAAATCACACGGTACGGAAGCAGAGCTGGGTGGATCTCACCCCAGAACCCCAAGTTATACCTGCAATCCGACTCAAGAGAGCCAGTCCGCAGCACGGGGCGAGGCGGGCGCCCACCTGCGCGTACGAACGAGCGGGCAGGCTGAGCGCACGACCAGCGAGCGGCCTCCCCGAGCCCCGGGGACGTCCAGGGAGGCGCGGAGCCCACGCCCGGCACCCCGCGCCTCACAAGGCCACGGCCACCCCGCTTCCGAACCACCCTCCCCAGGGGCCACTCACCTGTTCTTTGTCCAGTTGCTCCAGCACGGCCGGAGTCGCTGGAGTCGCAGCTGAGGTGGCGGTTGAGCTGGACGGCGCGGTGGAAGCCAAGGCCTCCATTTCGCTGCCACCTCGTGCAGAGGCCCGTGCGGAACCCCAAAGCTGGCCCCTCCCGCGCACGCGCGAGCTCAGACGCGTATCCGGAAGCCAGTGGGCGGGGACCGGCTCCTGTGCGTCACTTCCGGAGCGCGGGGTGGACGCAGGGCGTCGCGCGGGGTGGACGCAGGGCGTCGCGCGGGGTGGACGCAGGGCGTCGCGCGGTGGTGGTTTGGCGGGCGCGAGTGAACGGGCTCGTTCTTGCGCGTAGGTCTGGGTCTCTTCCCGGAGGCAGAGCGTCTTTCCCTGCTGCTCCCGGTGTTCGCGAGGTGCGGGGAGCAGCCTGACGACGCCTCGCTCTCACTCTTGCAAGAAAGAAATCGAGCAAGCGTCCGGAGGCGGGAGAGGAGGCCTGGCTGCCCAGCCGAGTGGGGCCGCCGCTCTCCGTGGACCCCCGCTTTGGGCAGGCCACGGGGGGGTGTGGGGAGAGCGGGAAGGTCCGGCCCCACCTCCCACCTGCCGGGTGGCTTGGGGCGGACCACCGCCGCCGCCCAGCCACAGTCTCCTCGAACGCGAGGGTGGTGGGGACCTGCCACCGGCTGGCGAGGACTCCGTGCCGTGGACTTTGTGCACGGGACACACCAGACACGTCGTAAAGCGGCGTGGGGGCTCGAACGGTGACCCAGAGCCAGTCTCGTGAGCTTGAGGTCTTACAGAGGCGGGAGGTAAGAGCTTACACTCAGAAGCGTGCAGGCTGGAAAACGGTAGAAAACCTCCCTTCCTCCCCGCATCCCCAGGGGTGGCCACTGTTCTGTTTTTCCTGGAACCTTCCAGGGATGTTCTAGGCATGTTTAGGAAATACTTATACTTTTTTCTTTTTGTGGATAGTTGGGTTTAAATTTAATGAAAAAAATTTTTTAACACAAATAGGAACCTCGTATACCCATTGCCTTTTCCTTTCAATATGTCTTGGAGGTTGTCCAAGTCGGTGCATTAATGCTCTGCCTCATCTTTTTTAACGGCCGAATGGCCTTCCACCATTTAGGTAAACAATAGTTTATTTAGGAGCTTTTTGGTGGACATTCAGGGTGGTTTTAGTCTTCTTGCAATTAGCTATGGAAAATTTTGAGAGATTAAAGAATGGAGGTAGGAGACTTTCCAGGTCAATTGTTTGCAAAAAATGCCCTTTTCATGTTGCCAAAGCTGGAAGGAGGAGTGTTCTGCTGCTGCTTTCTAGTGACTTGAATCAACTTGTAGAAGAAATGTTCTTAAATCTTTGGCACCTACTCCCATTGTGTATTCTAGAATCTAGTGTAAGATGGAATTACTTTTAGCACAGTATTATGAATTGTTACATTAGGCTTCATGTATCATTGTTTTCCAGTATTCTGAAAAGAGTATTAGGGCTGTCAGGTGTTGTGTGACTGAATTCAAGTTTGAGAACTAGACTTCTAGGCCAAGGGAACGGGGTGAATTCAGGTGAAGGAGTGCGGTGGTGTTTGGAAATAATAAGTGGCTGGAACAGGGATGTGCAGAGGGGAGGAGTGGGAGATGTGGCTAGAATGGTAGGTTAAGGAAGGAATTCGTTATCAAGCTGAGAGTTTATACTTACTCGGGAGAAATCATACGAAGTTTTTGAATTGGTGGTAGGGAAGAAGAGGAGGTAGTGATGAATTATGCTTTAGGAAAGTTAATAATCTGGCTGTGGTGTTGTGTTGGTTTGAAAAATATGTCATACGCCCACAAATTCTTTGATAGTTAAGTGATGGAGCTTCAGTCCCCTCCCCTTGAGTGTGGGCTGGACTTAGTGACTTGTTTGTATCAAATAGAATATAGCAGAAGCGATAGAATGGATGTCACTTCTGAGATTAGGTTATAAAAAGACTATAGTTTCCACCCTGAGTGTTCTTTTTCCCTCTATCTCTGCCTCCCTCGCTCTTTCTTTTGTTCAAATACTTGCTCTGGGTGAAGCCAGCTACCATTTCCTGAGCAACCACATGAGTGAGCTTGGAAGTGGATCCCCCTCCAGTTGAACCTTGAGATGACTGCACACTCTTGAGAGACCCTGAGCCAGAACCATCTAGCTATGCTGCTTCCAGATTCCTGACCCACAAAAACTGTGAGATAATAGATGTTTATTTTAAGCCATAAATTTGTGGTGATTTGTTATCCACCAGTAGATAACTAATAGAAATTTGTAGACCACCCGTCTTCAGACTCATCAACTATGTTGACATAGAAGTGCTATTGGGACCTCACACCCAACACGTCACACCATGGACTCATTAATTTCCCCTCAAGCCTGCTCCTTCTGTGTAGTCATTGGCACCAGCGACTGCCTAGTTCCTTAGCCGGAATATGGGAGTCATCCTTAACTCTCTTTCTCATCCCTCAAATAGTCGATAACAAAGTCTTGTTGTTTATTCCTTTTAAATATCTCTTGCATTTATCAAATTCTTTTTATCCCTTCTGCCTTGTAGTGCAAGCAATCATTTTTTTTTCCTAGACTACTGCAACAGCCTTCTAAGTTATCTTCCTGCCTCCAGTTTTGCATTTTGTAGTCTGTTCTCTGCCCTTCAGTTGGAGTAATCTTGGTCAAGTGCAAATTTGATCGTATCAAACCTGATCGTGTTTAACCGCCTTCATTGCATTACCACTGTCATCAGGATGAGGTACAAATTCCTTAATTTGCCTTATATACGTCCAGAGTTTGCATCTGTTGCCTAGGTGTCCTATCTGGTTTAGCATTCGTCCTGGAAAAAAGTGTCTCAGTTTGAAAAATAAATTATATGGTCATCCTCAACGTGTTAGGCACTGTTCATCTGATCCCTCCCTAACTTATACACTGCCACTCACCCCTTCAGTCTTTAGATCCTGGTTTCAACTCTGTAGTTTCCACTTGTTTTCATACCTTCCAACATGCTGTAACTTCTTCCTGGAACAGTACCACCGTCATAGTTGTCCTACCGTAATGGCTCTCCCCTGTTTGAGCATAAGCTCTGAGAGGGCAGGGGAGAACTAAGTAATGGTAGGAGAATTATAAATGATATCTTCACCATTGTATCCTTAGCACCTAGCCCATATATGACATTATTAGTATTGCTTTAAAGAAAGAATAATGCATTGGAATGGCCTGAGACAGGGCTTAGGTTGACAAGCATAGGAAACTATCGTAGTTTTCTATGTATTGAGCTCTGATATTAGGGTGATAGCAGTGAGAACAAAGTATAAGACTTGACCGAAAATTGGATATACAAGGAGGGAAATTCACATTACTCCCAAGTTCTGAATAACTGGGTAAATGGGTGGTGGTGTTAATAGAACTTGGGAAGGCAGGAGGAGCAGTAGATTTGGAAGGAAAAACAGGTTTTTTTTCGGTATTTTGAGTTTGAAGTTCTAGGGGTACATCTAAGTGGATCTGGACTGTGGAAGAGAAGGTTCCTGAACTAAAGAAGGAAATTTGGAAGTCGTAGAGGTGATGGTTAAAGCTATGGAAATAGATGAGATTGCAAAAAAGAAGTATAGAGGAAGAAGAGGGCTGTGGAGAAACCCTCGATTAGGGAACAGGAGGAAAAAGCCAGTAAAAGAAACAGTTGAGGATGTAAAAGAAAATCAGGAGGGTGCTATGTTCCGTCTTGAGGAATGGAGGTATGAGGATGTGCTAACACCATCAAATACTGAAGCAGTTGAGGAGAAAACATACTGATAGAAGGCCATTTTTTTGGGCAGTTAGGTCATGGTGACCTTACAGAAAGCAATTTCAGTGAAAGGATTATGAGGAATGTGAGTGATAGAAGAAAGGGGGAACATTGGTATATTTTTAACTTTTACCACTAAGGCAAATGAAATAAATGAAAATATTTTTGTGTTTCAGAGAATTTATTACATTACCAGTTCTTTTTATGATCAAGGATAACATATATAATAGCACTTACTCATCTCTCTATATAGCATTTATTGACTGACTTGTTAGCATTTTTGGTTGCCCCACTGACTGAACCTCTGTGGCCTCATCTTTTTCACTTTCAATCCATAATGCCCAACTCGTGTGTAGGTGCCTACCGAAAGTGACTTTACAGCTTAACAGGGCAAAACAAGGCATACCAGGCAGGATGTGATAAATGCTGTGTAAGTCGTATAAGGTGCCACATGAACTCAGATGACTTAAAAACTGAACGAACAGCAACAGTTTTAGAGAAGAGGTCTCTAAAGTTAGTGCTTTACCCTGCTGTGATAATAACTGTTGATTCCTTTGTCTCCTCTGCTAGAGTGAGTTCTCTGAGGACCAGACCTGGGGCTTAGTTACCGTGGCTCACACGGGGCCTGCCTGCCACGTGGTGAGCAGACGCTGAGTCAGTGCATCCCCGCTGCCCTCTGAGGCTTTGCTCCCAGCTCTCCTCCTGCTGTGCCGGCATCTGCACGCCCTCCTCCTCCTTCAGTAGCCTCATGTGTGCTCTTTTTAAGAGACGGTGCCGTGCTGCTTCTCCTTTTTTTGGTCCACCTTTTTGTCTTTCTGACGTCCAGTGCATTCAAGTGAGGTCAGCTTTCTCCTAACTCCTTGGTTCCAATCACACTGTTCGTATTCCCTCTCAACATGGTGACCTGCTTTTAATCAAGTCCAGTAATCTTTTCTAAATCCTCATTTTTCTTTTTTTTTTTTTTTTTTTTTT